TTAAAAGATATTTTTCAACATATCAGAGCTTTAATTTTATTTTAACATTAACAGAAAAAAGTGGTCTCTATAGAGCTTTGGATAAAATAAACTTTTTGTATTTTTCTAGGAAGATATACTCTAAGATACACAGTTGCCCGAGCCACAGAATTAATCAATAATCGATTACAGAAAAACTGAGCTTCTCTCTGTTGCAGACACCTATCGCCTGTGTGAAAGTATTACTAACACTCAGGAAGTACTTCTATGTATCAGAAATGCTTCCAATCAAATCTTAGTGTTAACTCACTTAATCTTTATATCCACACCTGTGAGGTGGCTACTATCATTCGCTCTACTTTTTTTATAGGTGGGGCGGCTGAGACAAAGAAAGGTTAAGTGACTTGCTCCAGGTAACATAACTAGTGAGTGACGGAACCCTGGTTGGAGCCATTTCTTCTTCCACCCAGCTGCCTTTTCAATGTGTTACCAATTCCACTGAGGTAACTCACATGGAGGAATTTTTAAAGGAAAACGATCCTCCCACCAACTTTTTCCTTCTCATTTTTCTTTCCTTTTTCCTGGGCACTGGAGAAAGTTACCACTTTACCCAGAAGACGTCTCGGCAACAAGTTAAAATATAACAAGAGCTTAAATAATCAAAAGAATAATGTGTTACAGTCGAAATTCCACGAAAAAGTGATCAAACACCAGAGCCTTATAAATCCCTGTCTGTACTGGATTTCAAAATCGGGCAGTGTTAAAGTGCTGACATGAATCCTTTGTGGGTTGAACGCTGACATTTTTCTGCATCCTGACGCACAGGGGACAAACAGTGCAAATCCTCTTTTTGGAACCAGTGCCCTGTTTTGTGTGCACAGCTTAGTTCCCGAGTCCCACCCTGTGAAACACAAACCTGTCTCAGAGACCTGTTCCCCAAACAAAACTTCTGCCTGCCTGCAGTGCCTTGAAATGACCAGAGAGACGTTTTTCTCCACAAACCCTTCTTTTCCATCGGCTCTTCCCCTTGCTAATCTCATCTACTCCTGGAACTCTGCATAGTTGCATTATCTCCAAACAAAATGGCCAGCCCAAGCCCTTCCTGGGAATGTCAGACCTCTCCATCTTCTGCCTTCTCTCTGTCTCCAAGAGAAGTCTATAATCATCTTCAATTTTATATTGTCAAGGAGTGCTCCTCGTTTCTTTGACCCACCCCTAACGTGGTTCTGTCCTATCTTCTCTGTTTCCTTAAACAGCACCACCATTCTAGACTGTTGCTCAGGCAAAAAAAGAAAGAGGTCATTGGAGGTCAGTGGGCAATCAACATGCCCACTATTAAACCCCCTCTGATTAACCCACCAACTTCCATCTCCATCTGACGATGTATTTCCATCTTCTTTAGTCTTAATCACCCTCCCCTCTCACTTATATCTCTGTGGAAGCCAATTGACTGATATGTCATGGCCATTGTTGGCTCCTCTGCAGATCCACTCTCCACTAACAGCCTGAGTGGTCTTCTTGAAACACAAATCTGACCATGTCACTTAATGGCTGAAACCCATCTGGATTCCCATCATTCAGAAGGTAAAGTGGAAATTTATAGGGCCTACTGGAGCCTGTTGGCTCTGGCTTCTGACTTCATCTGTAGCCTCATCTCACTCTCCCGTCTACCACCATGTGAACCCATCTCTGCTCCTGTGGACACAGAGAATTCCTCTTCTTCCCAGAGGATACTCCTTTTTTGCCTCCTCGTTCGGCCAATTCATATTCACCCTTTAGTTGTCAGTTTCAATGCCATTTCTTCAAAGGAATGTTCCCCATACCATTAGCTCCCCCTCCCCTGTCCACATCCAGGCTGAGTGTATGTGTCCCCTTATGGGTCCCTGGATGTGGTGAAACCTGTCGTATTTGCAATTATGAGGTCATTTTCATACCTTCTTACTGATGGCCAGATTCTGTGAGTAGACTTTAAGTTTCATGGGGCAGGATCTATATCTTACTTGTTAATTACTATGTCTCCAGAGCTAACACAGAGTCTGTCCACACAGAATGGTGTTCAGTAAATGCACTTGGAAGCCACAGAATCAAAAAAAGCCTTTCTCTACACAGGCAGAAGTTAGACACAGTCCAAACGCTGCAGACAGTGTCCATGTTGGCGCAGAAGTCGGCATGGCCTTGCGAAATCCATCCCAGGACTGAACATTGGCTCACTCTCCTCTGGAGGGCCACCTCCAAAGACACTTTCTGCCTGCTGGTGACATGTTCTCCAGAGCTTCGAATCCCTGAGGTGACATACCTCAGATGCTTCTGGGCAGGCGTTCTTGGTTCCAACCCTCATGGAAAAACATAATCCAGAAAGAAAAGAAAATAAAGAGAAACCAGGACTAGAAGGCTGCCTTTATTACAGCAAAACTGTTGGCTTAACTTCCTAAAATACCATTGCATTTCTTTCTGGGTACAGCTGTGTTTATAGAAGGCAATATCATGTATGTAAATAAATTCAGATGCCGCTCAAGTTATTTTAAAACAATCAGTCTAACACTAATCAGCTTACTCAGAGACATAATCCTACCCTAAAAAAGTGACAAATCAGAACCCAGTGTGCAGAGTACAACGCATGGCGGGTAAGTGAGATGTAAATGTGAGGATGTTGCCCAGGTCACAGAGCAGGGTTGGCCCTTCCAGATGCATCATGGGAACGGCCTAAGCTGTTGCTTTTGTGCCACACCCCAGCCTCCTAGAAGTAGAAGGTGGACACTGTAATGACTAATTAATGCATTATTAATACATCGGTTCTCAATTCTCTGTGAAAGCCACACCCTTTCTCACCATGATGCATATGCTGTTTCCTTCACCAGGAATCACTGGGGCCTCCTGGCCTTCCAGAAAAACAGCCCCTGCTTCTAGGCCCACCTCAAATAGCCTCTCTTCTGATTATATTGTCTTGCCCTTATTCCATCTTAGGCCACCTTACGTAATATACATAATAACTGGTGCTAATTCCTAAAAGTTTTTGAGCATTAACTGTGTGTCAGACACTCCCAAGTACAGGAAATGTGTATTCATTCAATGACTCCTCACCCTATGAGGTACTACCGTCATCGCCTCGTTTTACAGGTGAGGAAACTAAGGCAATGAGTGGTTAAGCGCCTGCCGAGGTCACCCAGACAATAAATGGCTTAGCCAGTGATCCAACTCCTTCCCCTCTGCTGGTTTTCAATGGCCAGGTCCCCAGTTGCATATTGCTCTTAACTGGTTTCCAAGCATCTAAATTTGAAGAGAAAAATTTGGTTGTTTTAGAGATGTAGAAACTGGCTCAGGGAAGTGATGCAGTTTGCTATTCTCTTCTTTCTCAGATAATACAGGGAGGACTAAATCTAAACTCACCTGTGTCTCCCCTCCACATCTGTTTTCTTTGAGCTAAACACACATCAGAACACTTTTTCAATTTTGCTCTGGCTCTTTGTACAGATAGCTCTGTCTGGAGGGCAACTGCCAGAACATGTGAGTTGAGCAACAAAATATTTTTGTAGTTGTTATTCCCTTTTCTTTTTTTTTTAATGGGCACCATGTGTGATGCAAAGAAAACCCTCTGATTTCTTTTGAGGAGTTCACAGTCTAGACAAGGACAAACTAGTGCCCGTGAGTTAGTAAGAGGTCAAGTGCTCAGTAAGACTTCTGTGCTCAGTAACCCAGTGGGGCCTTCAGAAGAGGGAGATGTGAGGGTTAGAAGTGTTGGCCAGGTCCCTGGTGAGATGGACAGAACTGAATTGCAATCCTGGTTCTCCTTGTACCAGTGCACGACCTTGGCCATATTCCTCCACACCCCTGAGCCTTTGCTTCATTTACAACATGAGTCTCTTTCTTCTTGCTGTTCTGCTTGGAAGTAAATGGGACAAGTGTTGGGGGGCCAGTCTCTCCCTTTTTTCCTTCCATTAAGCTTTTTACTGCTGCCGAGGGTCATGAATGAAACAACATTCATAATGACTCATATGTGTTCCCTTGTGTGTCCTTCAGAAAGCCATTGCTCCCATTTGGCAAACTCCTGGATCTTCTAGAACCTCTTGAAAGTGACTTTATATTTAATAGGGCACATTCATCTGTTCTTTGGAACGCCAAACATGTCAAGGACTCTTCAAAACTAGCCAGAATATTATACTCACTACTCAGTCAGTCCTGGTAATCCTGGGAGCATGGACCCAAAAGGATCAGAAGAATGTTTATCAAAACTATTCTTGCTACTACTATTATTATTTTTGTTGCTATTGTAATTATTGTTAACACTAGTTTCAAATACTATTATGATTCCTGAAGCTATTACTATTTCTATTTCCACCACGACTAATGCTACAATTACTATCATCCCCACCATCATATCTATAAGTCCTTCTGCACCTGTTACCAGTACAACTACCACCACTGCCATTCTATTAAAACTGTCTTATTCTTCTCCTGGCACAATGACCACCATCAACACCACCCTATTATAATTCTTCTTTCTTACTACTAATATTACAACTACCATCACCATCCTATTATACCTCCTCCTCCTTCTATTTTTTATAACTACCACCACCATGCTGTTAGTAACACTGTTACTAGAAGCTGTTCATTCTTTTGTCATGCTTACTAGGTACCAAGCATTGTGCTAAACATTCTACATGTATTTGCATTTAACCGTCATAAAAGTTCTGTGCTATAGGCATTTGTATCGTTCTCATCTGATGGGTGAACAAACTGAAGCTCAGAGATTCAATGAGTCCCAAACTTCTGCCTTGGTGAATGTCAGGGCTGATCTTTATACCACTTCTCTCAGATCCCCAGCCCCATGCCCTTTCTAAATTTCCATGCTGCTTACAGCCATCTCAGCTAGGACAGAGTGTTTTTGATATTTCCCTTTTCTACGTTCTTTTGCAGGGAGATGGGAAAGATGGGAAGTCCACCCAGTGTGGAAGGACAATGACTGGACACAGAACTTCAGGGTAAACAGGAAGCTCACACAAAGCAGCCAGCCAGCCAGGGCAGTTTGTCTGCCGACCTTGGCCTTGGTCATCCTCCTCACATCCCCTTGAATGAGCAGTTCCACACCTGAGATGATCTATGAAATGACACTTCCAGGTAGGTTTTCGCTGCCACTTGGATAAGAAGCAAGAAAACTATAGGCTGGGCTACACACATACACAGATCAAAGATGGTGGATAATAAACATCTTTTATTTACACAAAGTCTTTGTTGCTTTAATCCTCTTTGCCTGTCTTTCTGCCCATGCACCCTGAAGTTGAACAGGCATGTCCTGTACACCCATGAACGAAATGGCTATTACTGCCCCTCCCCAATTCTGTGACACTTTATTCTGCGTACAAGGGGCATGACTACTGGAGGATGCATCAGTTCATGCATTCAGTTAAACAATCATCCCTTCAATAAATATGAAAAGTGGGCACAATTCGTGCCAGGGCCATCATGTTGAATAAGATGCAGCCTTCTTCACTCTTGAAGTTATCCTTACTCTCATGGCGATGACTGTCTAGTGGGGAGGTGATTAAAACCAAACAAGTGAAAACAAGTTTGGTGATTAAAACCAAACAAGTGAAAAACAAAACAAAACAAAACTAGGTAACCATAAACTGTGGTAAAACCTTGGAAGGAAATAAAAGAGGATCAAAGAAAGACAATAAGAGAGGACAGGTGGGACCAAGCACAGACAATGGGGTAGGAAAGGCTCTCAGGATTCGCCATTTAAGACGAACTTTGCAGTGTGCCAGTAGTCCACTAAAGCACATTTCCAGGACACTATCAGGTACAGCATATGCAAAGCCTTCAAACTGGGAGAGGATTAAGGTTCAGAAATTGAGAAAATCCAGACTTGTCAGAGCATAGGAAATGAGTGGAAAGTGCTACAAGATGAGATTGAAAGGTGATACATGTTTATATGTTGGTGGGTATGATCCAGTAGAGAAAGAAAATATAATGGTATCTAGGAAAGAGAGAGAGAGAAAGGATAAATCTAATGATGCAGGAGAGAGAGAGAGAAGATATCTTGATGAAGATGAGCACGGTGACTTTCAGGCCTCTGTCTCTAATGTTTGTCTCCTCTTTTGGATGTTGCTTCTCATGCTCCATAAGCTTTGGGTGAGAAAAACCAAAGAAAGCATGGACAAAAATAGGACTTTTCTGATTTGGAAGTCAACAATGCTGATGGGCTCCTTAAAGACTTGGTGTTAAAGTTTACCATCGGACAAGTACATGACGGGTAAGGTTCTGACTTTTCATTTTGCCTGTGATCAAGGTCAGACTTTGATGTAGAAAAACCCAGTGGATGTCCTGACACACAATAGATACATAATCAGTATGTGTAAGTAGATATTGAATAAATATACAGATGAAACAGGCTAGGTCAAGTACTTAACCTAGCTCCATCTGGTACAGGAAGGCATAGCATGCGTATCATCATTCTCGCTGTTAAGATGTTGAACTAGCAAAGTTCAGGATGGGCCCAGTAGGTCTGGTGGGTTTGAGACCACATCCTAATGGTCAGCTAAGTCAGGATGGGTCAAACGGTTATCAAGTCCTATATAGAAGTTCAGGAATGTTGCATTAGGAGATCTCTAAGGTGTCATTGTTGATTTCATGATCTAAGTCTTTCTAATCTGTCCTGTCCATTATGAGCACATGAGGACTCGAAATAAGAAGAAAGTCAAAGTTGGCCTGAGGTAGAAAAAGAGAGCCATTTCCACCCATCTTTTCACCAGATTTGTTGCCCTAGACAAACCAAAACCTGCAAAGAGCCTTCTCCCTGGTAAGGCCTGTCTTCCCCTTCATCACGAGTCAGTACCACAGGCCCTTGAAACATGCTATGGCAGAAACCCTGGGCTTACAAACTCATTCTCCCACATTCTATTAACATATCTTCATTTGCCACCTGGTTCTTTTTCAAGTACTTATGAATAAGATGACCTTTCTCTTTCTATCTACAGCTACTGCATATTCTAGTTGAAGGGCAGGAAAAAAATCAACACATTTGGAACCTTTAATTTGAAAGAAAACTCTATAAATAATTTTGGATCATGGTAAAAAAAAAGTGGTGTTGATATTAGATAAACTCAGTGAAAGCTGGGAGAGAGCTGGGAGAGTTTCCCAAGACCCAAAGTCTGACAACCCTGACCATCCATTCTCATCTTCTTTCTTATTCTGAAGGAGCGTGGGTATGAAGAACTGGATGCTAGTGTCTAAGAGAGATGGGAGTGGGTTCTGGCCACAGTATACAAATGCAGGCCCCTGGGTAGGGAATGTATTTGTGAATAGGCCATGGAGTTTTCCAGAAAAAAAAAACATGGTGCATTGTCTCCATACAGTGGTTCCACAATAGGCAGCTCTCAACCATTGAGACAGGCGATCCTGTGATTCTCCCTCTAAGTTGTAAACGATGTCTGTCAGGGGTTTAGTAAAGGACGTTGTTACCCAACACAAGCTAATAAGCAAGGAATGGGAGTTGGCCTAATTACTCCCCTCCCTCCCTCCCTCTTTCTCTCCTTTCTGTCTTTATTCCCTCTCTTTTATCCTTTCTTCCTTTCTTCTGATTGAGATTGACAATTGCCGGGATATTGAACAACGTGCATTCAATTCCTGAAATTCTGAGATGGAATTTTTGACTTTTCAATTAGAAGAGTCATGGAGAATGCAGACTCACTCTGAGGGGAATGTGATTTAGGAATTAGGAGCATCTTAGTTCAGTTTGTTCCTCGGATTCCACATATGAGTGAAATTATATTGTATTTGTCTTTCTCTGGCTGGCTTGTTTCATTTAGCATAATGTTCTCCAGGTCCATCCACACTGTCACAAAGGGTAAAATTTTCTTCTTTTTTAGAGCTGAGTAGAATTCCATTGTGTAACTGTCCCATAGTTGTTTTATCCACTCATTTATTGATAAGCACTTGGGCTGCTTCCCTATCTTGGCAACTGTAAATAATGCTGCAGTAAACATAGGGGTGCTTATGTACTTTTGAATTAGTGTTTTGGGTTCCTTTGGATACATTCCCAGCTGGGTGGTGGTGGGCAGGGAGTTGGGGATGGAGGTAATTGAGCAAAATTGAACAAAAAGAGAAAGAGCGTTCGTGGGTAGGGACAATAGTGTGATGACTGGTGGGGGGAAGATGGTATAAGGAGACTAAATGGTAATTTAAAAAATACAATAAAGATTTAAATCTCGGATACAGTGTTGAATAGGAAAAAAAAGAATTAGGAGCATCAGTATCAGTCAAGAGCCAAGTTCAAATCCTGGCTCTATAACCTTGAGTCAGTTAATTAACCTCTTTGAGTCACAGTCTCAATACAGAACATGGCAAAAATGCTTCCATCTATCTCTCAGGGTTGTGAGATGGATTAAATGGCATAACCCCAAATAGTACCAGAACACTGTCAGAGTCACCTCACTGAAGCTAACAGAGTTTAAGCTTTGAGGCATTTTTCTTGCACAGGCTCTTTCCAAGAACCCGAAGTATTGAATGTTTATGATATTTGAAAACTTGTTAAATTTGTAATCTGTAATATTCTCGTTCAAAATAAATATTGCATCCTAATACTGTATTATTTTTCTTGAAGAGAGACCCCAAATTTATAAATTCGGGCCCCACAAAACTGTAGTGTTCAGCTCAGTACTGTCATGAAGACAACACTCACTAAATGGTAGACGACAGCAATTCTGCTTCATTTCTTAAGAGTTCTTCAACATTTTTCATATTAGTTAGACATCATCATGGCAATGAAGATAAAAGAATACATATTTTGATTATTATTATTATTACTAGTGACAGTATTTAAAAATATAATCAGCACATCTGCAGGAAGGTAAATGACGGATGAAGCTTTTGTTAGCTGTTCTGGTGCCCTATGGCTAGTGTCACAGAATTTCTTTAAAGTCTCTAAAATAAAGGTAGATAATTAATGAACACGGGAGGGGGAGAGAGAGAAAGGATTCCTATTCATCAATGTCCGGTTAGTCATCTTTCCACAGATCACTCTATCTGGACTTTTTCATCCGTAGTCTGTGCCCTGGTGACGACAGTTACCGAGGAGCCCAGTAGCACCTCTCACCCGCGTGGAGTACACTCAGCTATTTCTGTGTCTCTCCATTGTTCTCACACTTACAGTCTCAGAGGCTGTCATGTGCCCCACTCTCCATACTGTGGTCTCATTTTTCTACAGAGTTGAACTCTGGAGAAAACATTGGTAAAAAATGTGAATACTTCAGTGCACATTAGAACACTCTTTGTTTAAATTCACTCCCACCCCATTTCTGCGCAAGGAGCCCAGTGAGGAGGAAGGCGTGAGCAAAGGGACACAGCCAAGTTGCATATTTAAAATTCCATCAGTTCGATTTCTTTAATGCAATATGGTCATTTTTAATCTTGCTCCGTTTGATAAATACTTGCATTTCAAGTAATTGTTAAGATTGTGTCTGTTTTTATTAGAACGTATTTGTCATTATTTGACAGTCGCTTCTAATCACATTTGTCATGTGTTCGGTTCCCTTCATGAATACTGATGGCTCCTGGAACAGAAGTTTATGAAGCCCCATTCATTCCTTGAACACACACAGTATGCCCACCACCCAGGAGACCATTTTTCCTGTCATTCAAAAATGAGAAAATGAATAACAAAAGTGAGGGGGAGGTTTATCTTTAGACACAGAAACTAGAATTGTTTGGAAGTTTTCGGAATTTTGATGACAGATTTTTGTGTAGTCAATTCAATCAATTGTATAGTTGGGGAGTTTAGATATTCAGGCAGTTTGAACACACCAATTGACAAGTTTAGATTCAAAGTTGTCTGCTGTATCAGTTCAGCCTAAATTCCTAGCACTGTGGGAAACTTCACACAGCCAAGTCATGCCATTCACCAAATAGCCCTCCGAGTGTTCATTCAGCAAATATTTAGATATTTAGAGTTTCCATTCACTGGGCAGATATTTATTCATTCAATAGATGTTTATTCATCCATTTATTTAACAAATAATTTTGTGTTTCAATGGACATTTGTGAAATTTCTACTCTAAGTACGACACAGAATGGACCATCTTGGCAGCTACACTGCTTTCACCATGAGCCTGTAATTTCAGGATGTCATCCCTGCTCTCATGTCACCATCAAGGAAAGGCCACAAATTTTGCCTTGATTACTCCACATGGTCTCACAGCCTCCGTGCAGTGGAAGAACAGAATCCGACAAATGCTCTAGACCATGATGGGTCTCCCCATTACATTTTTTGTCTTCCAGTGAACATGCATTGGGGTCTGCTCTATATACAAATCATGATACTAGGTGCTCAGAATAAAAAGATAAAGAAGGCATCGCTTTGCAATACTTCATAGTCCAGTGGTATCTAGCACACTCTGGGAACCCAACACTGAATATGAGAGGGAGGGAATGATAGAAGTGAATGAACGAATGAGTCTATATTTTGGGACTAAACTTCTGTGCCTGCTCCAGAAAGTAAGTCAGGCAGAAAAGACTTCCAAGAACAAGCAGATTCTCACCAAGCAGTTCACTCTGGCTGCAGGACTTTAGTGACATTGAATCCCCCACCAATGCACAGCTTAATTATCATAAGAAGTAAGATGAACATATTCCAAACCACCCTGTAAGTAGCTTGGGCTGTTTTGACCTTTGCAGCTCTCACCTCTCATCACTACAGGGCCTGCCTGGCTGGATATCAGCCCCTGGGTCTGGGGAATTATGTACATCCAATACTGGAGTGTCTAAAACAAGGAGAGACAACTGGTGGGTTGGGGTGTGCATTTCTCAAGCATCAATTATAATCTCAAACCCCTCTAAACACTTTCTCTCTCCCAAGCAGCTTATAATTAGGGAGGGATAATCATAAGCTTAGCAATGCCCAAAGGAGCACCTTTGCAAACTGCACATGCTCAGCAAGGTCTGTTAACCCTTTTGGATGAAGGATCAGCATGTGATCTGCTCTATCTAACTTGCTGCTTTTAAGGTGGACCGTATCAGAACCAGGTGATATACCTAAATGCCTATGACTTAGCTATTCATGCTATGTGAGTGACACTGGGCCATCATGGAAAGTATGTGGGGGTTTCATTTAGAGAATAAAGACCAGATTCTCAATCTCTGGTTTGCCATTGATAACTAACCATTAAGCCTGAGCAATTTTCCCAAGATCCTTGACTCTCAGTTTTCTCAACTGTCAAATGGGAAGAAAACCAAATCAACATGGTGAGGTTATTAGGA